ATTCAGAGAACAACTGAGTTCCTTATCATTCTTTGTTGTTCACATTTCTTTACTGTGGTTTTGGCAGTTATTTCAGAAAGTAAAACTGTTATAGCATTTACCTTTCTGTTCCACATCTATTCCCCTAGGTAAATGCTATGGCATTTAGGTAAAATATACAGAGATTTTTTTCCTGTTTCATCTACAGTGAAATGTAACATGTTCACACTTCCTCATCCTATTATGTACCAAATATTCTGGATATGTTGTAGGATGTATGTCCTTGTTCTCTTGTGGTTGGTGGAGCCATATGACTAGTTCGGTCCAACGAGTTTGTAAGCAGCAATGACCTGTCTGACTTCTAAGCTACAGCATATAATTCCTGGTTAAAGACCCTCCGGAGTTCTCTTTCCTCATCACGTAAGGGATATCGCTGTTTGCAACTTGCTCCATTTGGCTGAAGTCTTAAAATAAAAAAAGATGTGAAGCAGAGATGCAGCTAACCTGGACTTGTCCTGTAGGGAGAGCAAGAAATACATTTTTATAAATCTATGAAAGTTTTGAGTTGTTGCATGATTGTTACCACGGCATAACCTAACTCATCCTGACTGATAACAATCGCATTTACAGGAGAAGTATGGTCCTGATTCTCCATATAAATACTTCATAATTTACTTACATAAATTTGTACGAGCACATGAAACAAACTTGACTCCAAAATAAAATAATAGTCTGCCCCAACCTATAGTTCTCAACCAGAAATCAGAAAGGACTTCAAGCAAGACTTCCGTCGATGACCCAGACTGTGCAATGAAAATTAAAAATCTGAGCCTTTAACAGGGAGTTAGAAGTTCGAGTAAAGTAAAATCTACATTTAAAGAATAGGGAAAAAAAGAGAATGGTTTTCTGCTTGATCACTGACAGTGTTATAGCAGGTTTATCCAATTTTTGTCACACAATAAAGATATATTATGAAAACTGGGTAAAAGAAAAGAGGCAGATGTTTAATTGTAATAATTGAATGAACAATTAGATGTCAGCTCTTTGGCAGATGATATACAGTGAAATGCACTTTTGTACTAATTATTTTCAGTAGCTAACTCTTGAGTATAAAAATGTGCTCAGTGTTGATGATCCAAATATGAGTAATATGAACTCCCTGGCATCTTGATGGGTACTGACAGTTGAATAGTAGGGGATGAGAAATGGACATGAGGGGCGCCTGGGTGGCTTGTCGATTAAGAGTCAGACTCTTGATTTTGGATCAGGTCCTGATCTTAGGGTCCTGAGATGGAGCCCTGCGGGGGGCGGGGGTGGGGGTGGGGGGGCTTTCCACTCAGCAGGAAATCTGCTTGCCTCCCTCTACCCCTCCCCCACCTCCACCCACCTCTGTGCAGGCTCTCAAATAAATATTTTTTAAATTTTTTATTTTTTATGTTTTTAAAGATTTTATTTATTTATTCATGAAAGAGAGAGAGGCAGAGACATAAGCAGAGGGAGAAGCAAGCTCCTTACAAGGAGCCTGATGTGAGACTCAACCCCAGGACCCTGGGATCAGGACTGGAGCCAAAGGCAGACAGACGCTCAACCCCTGAGCCACCGAGGTACCCACCCCCTCTTTTTTTAAAGAAGTGGACATGAAGCAGAAATATGCTAACTGCTCTTAAAGGTGCACATCCTTTAGGGTGCAGTCGTAGGCATGGGTGAAGAGTACTCTTTAAAGGGGTAAATGGTCCAGTGGCTGTGGTTGCTAGGCCATCCCATTGGTACTAACTAGCCTACCCATGCAGCTGCTTGGTTAGAAAACTGCGTATCAGAGACTGGTTGAGAATAAGCAGATAAAGGACTAGGCCGAGTAGTCTATGAACTTGATAAAAAGTCAACATGATGTTGAGAAAGCTGGCTTTCTTGGCATCCAACCTAAAATCTAGCAAGTCTGTTCCAACCCAACAATTTCACTACTTCCACATTTTGGTCTATCAATTTGTGGTTTAGGATTTAGCAACAGATTGCACAGAAGAAGCAACTAACAAACGATCCAAGCAAAAGCAAACTTGTAGACTATGTAGGAAAGTATATATATAAGCATAGGTTTAAATCGCAGTGTAAAAATAATCACGCGGAAACAATGGTAAACATGTAATCAAACACATGTTAGAAAGAGAATAAACCGTTAAGAAAAGCACTATTAAAAACAGGGGGAGATATCTGAAACAACATCTCAGAGACTGCTCTTTTAAGCTTTGGCATGTTACTTTCGCTACACAGAAACATAATTTTTTTTTTTCCTGGGACAACCCATTTTCTGTACAAGAGACACCATCGGTCCCCTTCTTGTTGAACCATTTAAAGTGTGTTCACACTTGGCTCATTGTTAGAGCTAGTTGATGTTCAGGGAAGTGGGGAAAAGATGTGTATTTACTATTCTTCAACAAATTACTCCTTCAATAATTAAAATCTGCTTTATCAAAATGGGTGGTAAATACCAAAATATTTAATAGGATGGCAGTAGAACTATGCTCTCTGTAGACCTCGTCAAGGATGACACCAATTTCCATCCATATCTACTGGATGGAAGCAAGATGTGCTTTTCTCAGAGTTTATACTAGACAAAAAAAAAAAAAAAAGGAAAACACAAAAAACAGTATTTTTATTTTAACCAGATGTGAATGAATTGAGCCCAATATTTTCAAGTATTTTTAGTGCCATATGATGTCATCTGACTTTATATTTTTTTACAGAGGGATAATGTGTGTTTTTAAAATTGTGAAGCCACTTTCCACGCATGTACTTAAAGTCTTATATATGATGAATTACAATACACAAATTACAGCACTGCAGGACACACTTCTGGCAGTTCATGTCAAAGAGCGGAGAAAGAGAAATTTAATTTCTTAATAGGAAATCAAATTACAAGCATGTGAAATGTCTTCTGCTGGCCTTTAAGGTAGTCCTCATTTCTGTAATCATTGTACTTGCGCAAACAGGTCCAGAGCAGGACTGCGGCCGTGCTCTCCCAACCCTCCAGCCTGCCTCTCCCCTGCCAACAGAGCGGCCCACGGACTCCACAGGCACCGTGTACAGTATTTCCCTGGTCGTGGGGAGAACTCGGTTTTGAACCACCAGGTCGTGGGATCCGTGGGTGGCGCAGCGGTTTGGCGCCTGCCTTTAGCCCAGGGCGTGATCCTGGAGACCCGGGATCGAATCCCACGTCGGGCTCCCGGTGCATGGAGCCTGCTTCTCCCTCTGCCTGTGTCTCTGCGCCTCTCTCTCTCTGTGTGTGTGACTATCGTAAATAAATGAAAATCAAAAAAAAAATTGAACCACCAGGTCGTGTCTGGTTGCCATGTATTAAATATATATCAACATTAACATATGTAATAATACGCTCTTCTAGGCTATTGCTATCTACTACATTATTCTACGCAGTAAATGGATTATCGGTGATGTATTTTCAATGACAGGCTCACACATGCTACGCATCCCCGGGGCCGTTAGCCCAGATAAGCGCAGAGTTTCCCGGGACCGTGGCGCCACTCTCGCTGCCTGGGAACTGGCCAGGGAACAAAGAGGCTGGAGGGACGAGAACTCGCTTCCTCACACTTTTCTCTGGGGCAACGTCAGGCAAAAGCGGCCACACCCGGAGCCCGAGTGGCCCTCCGTAGCTCTGCGGAGTGAACTTCTCCGAGTCATCTCTCCTGGGACAGAGGGTTCTTAAAAACCATTTAAAGCTTTCCAAAGGGCAAAAGAGAGACGGTCCTGAGCCAAGGTCACCATAAACGCTTCCACTCTCCCTGATTTCATTTCGGAAATAAGGAGGGAAAGAGGCGGTCAGCACGGCGGGCTGGCCCACACGCCCCATCCAGCTCCCCCCCCCCACGCCTCCGCCCCCCATCGGGAGAAAGACGCTGAAAGTCGAGTTCCTAGGACCGTGGGGCCGTGGCATACGGAACGTTGTCGAATTAAAGAGCCATTCTTTCCGACTGAAGTCTCCATCCAGCACCCACGCTCGAGCAAAGGACGTCCCGGGCCAAGCCCCCTTGCCATCCCGCCATCCACCGGCCGGCGAGGTCCCGGAGGGGGCGAGCCTGGGGCGGGGGGGCCCGGGGCGGGGGGGCCTGGGCCGCGGGGGGGGGCGAGGACCCCGTGCCAGCGCCGCAGCCTCTGTCAGGGCTGCTCGGGCCCCGCGGTGTCCCAGGACCGTGCCCACCTTCCGCTTCCCCTCCCCGGGTCCCTCTTCCCGGTTCAGGCTGCACCGCCGGACTGTCTGGGGGACCAATGAGGTGGCAGCGGCTGACGCGTGGATCCCGGTGAGGGGCGACTTCATTTCCAGGGGGAGAGGCCGCCGAGCCGGAGGGGGGAGCGCGGGGGGCGGGGGAGACAGAGGGAAGCGGGGGCAAAAAGTAGGAGGGGAGGAGCGCAGCCCGGCGGGGAGGCTGCAAGGGCGGCCGAGGTGAGCGGCCAGAAAGGTGCACGGGGAGGCGCAGGTTCGCGGGCTGGAGCGGGCTGGGGCGGGCTGGAGCGGGCGGGCGGGGGCCGGGCGCGGACGGAGGGTCGCTGTCAGGCGGCGCGGGACCCGCGGCCCGGGGGCGGGGGGGGCGGGGGCGCCGGGGACCCGGGGCGCGCGGCGGCTCCCGCAGCCCGGGCGGTGTGGCCGCGCCCCGCCCCGCCCCCGCCCCCCGGCGGTGCGCCCCCCGCGCCGGCCGCTCGCCCGCTCGCCCCGGGGCTGCCCCCGCCCGCGCGCGCCCGTTGGGGGTCGGGGGAGCGGCGCCGGCGGCCCGGCCGCATTGTGACGTAGCGGGGCCGCGGCTGCGCCTCCGCCGCCCGCTCCCGCGCCCGCTCCCGCGCCCGCTGCGGCGCTTCCCGCCGCCGCCGCCGTCCACCCGCGCGTCCGTCAGTCGGTCCGCGCTCCCGAGTCGCCGGCGCCGGGCGCCCCCGGTGAGTCCAGGTTGCGGCGGGCGCGGCGGGGAGGCGGGGGGCGGCGGGCGCGGGCGGCGGCTCCTTTCCAAGTTTGCGCGGGGGCCGCCCCGCAGCCCCGCAGCCCCGCAGCCCCCGGCCCCTTTGTGCCGCGAGTCCCGGCGGCCCGGGCAGCGGCGGCGCCTGGGCAGAGCGGGTTTGGGGGAAGGTCTCTATAGTAACGGCGGCGGCGGCGGCCGAGCGGCGGCTCCACTCCGGGAAGGGGGAGGCAGCCCCCGCCCCGGCGGCCGAAGGATCGTGCCTGCCTTTGCCGACGTCGTGTGCTTGGGACCCTTGCCGCCGCCGCACGTCGCCGGGGAGGCGGCGATGGGCAGTGCCCAGCTCCCGAAAAGCCCCGATAACGAGGGGCGAAGTAACAGTACCGGCGGCAGGAGCAAATAACGACGCTAAGAAACGCGCCCGAGGGCCCCGCGGGGTGGCTGCGGCCCAGGGAGCCCCCGCGCGTTCCCGGGGCTCGCGGGCCGCGGGCGCCGCCGGGCTCGGAGCTGCCCCGGAGCTGCCCCGGGCGCTGTCCTGCGTCCCAGGCTCGTCCGCGCCGATTTCGGCCGGGGGTGCGCCTCTCTTGGCCTTCTCCGCTGCTGATGACTTTCATCTGCAGGTGGTAAGTGAGGTGAACTGGTATTTTGGCCGTTGTCAAATGCCACGTTTTGTTTATTTCATTTTTACGAAAAGAAAAGAGGGGGGAAATTATGAGCCATTGCTGGCAGCCGTACAGTTTCCACAGGAAATACTAGCATTCTTTGAGGAACACGCTACTGCTTGCAGCGAAGAAAGTCTTGACGAAACAAAAAGGCAACAGCATTGTTGCTCATTGTCAATGGACCGCTAGGAGGGCGGGGGGGGGGGGGCGGTGGAGGGAACGTGTTGTTTTTTCCTGCGGGAACGTTGCTTTCCTTGGGAAAGTTCATTGAGGAAGCATTACCGTCGGTGTCCGTTTTTCCCTGGCCGGTGGCTGGGCCTCCCCACCCCTCTGGACTATTCCTGACAAGTGCCCATCAAAGAGCCGGGAGGCCGGCGAGAGCCCAGAGGAAGGGAGAGCCGGCCGCTCGGTGCGGGACAGGCTACCCACACACCACGTGCTGTGGAGCCCGGCCAGGGTGCAGTTTGCAAAAATGAAATAAGGGCTGCCTGGGGAGGTTTATGAGGATTACATGTGTGCAGAGTATGTCAGTTCTCCAAGGTGTCACTCTAAACACGTAATTCTCAAGCACCACTTTCCTTGCTGAATCTGCAGGAAGGCAAAAAACCTATTTCTCTTATTACGGAGCAGACATCCCAATTGGGAATGGGTTGGAATCTGTATTTCATTTGTACATATTGAAATTTTAAAAGGCAAAGAAAGAACGAGGTCTAGGAAAGCAGTATGCTAATGTGTTCACTTTGGCGAGGGGGGGGAGGAGGAAACATCTATTGGCTACTCCTGTAGCAGCTGAATGTTAATTTAAGTTCAGTGTGGTTAGAGTGTAGGGAGACAGCTTTAAGGGCTTCTTCTTAAAACTATTTGAAGGAGGTGTGACATTTTGCTGTCCATCACAGAAGGCTCTTCAGGACGCAGTTTTAACTGAAGATCACCCATAACCAAATACGTAGGAGTTCCCAGGTCTAGATTCGGAAAGAAGGTGATGGTGCCTCTCTTAAGGATCGTTTAGACATCTCAGAAACGATATATAAAAAATAAGGGATATTACCTTGAATGAACGTAAGCTTCATTTTTTCCATAGGAAGCATTTCATGAGGAAAGGCTACAACAGAGTAGATTCCAAGTGATGCTACATTTATTGATTTGACACTTACCATGTGTTGATGTCCAAAAGGAAGTGACCAGAGCAAATGAATCTCTCTCTACGCTATGTCGCAGCTTTGCTAATTCCAGACAGCTGTTCTGCTGCAGGTGTGGGTGGAAATGTAGAACAGAGGCCAAGAAACTTTGTGTGTGCTGTTGTTTTGGAAGGGATTGTAGTAGTACTTTACTGCTCTTAAGAGGAGGGAAACCCACACAAACGTCTAATACAAACAAATGATCTTTGATATTATCAGAGAAAGCCTGGAGCTGTTTTTCTTGCCAGATTTAAGGCATTGCTTGTCAAGAGAGGAAATCTCCCAAGGAGCAGGTGCACTATTATAAGAAACACAAGGGAAATTCTCTTTTAAATGCAAAATCTAATTGAACAGCAACAAGAGAATCTGTGACACTCTTAGAAGAGAAGCCTTGTTTTTGGCAGTCTGTCAGGTTATAGTTGCAAACCGCATAGGAGAAATATGTGTCTTGGGAGAACAATAATATCCTGGTGAAAATGAAACAGTTGCTTCTGTGAAACTTTTACCCTTATATATTTGTTTACTTGTGCCCCCCTTTAATTGATATGCAGATTTAGCTACAAGGAGTACTGAAAATGAATCAATAAATAGGTTACTTTTGTGATATATGCTTTGCATGATTTTGCACTTCACGTGGATGAGATAACTAGATTTCCTGTTTTATGGTTTGCAGCTTCCCTCTTTCAAGCTTTAAATGTTAATGATCAAAATATGTGTTGAAATGATGACTAGGAGTTGATAAGACTGATGGCTGGGCCCTGGAAAAGCACTGTTTGATTCCTGATTAGTTACAATGTATTCCCTTTGTGCATTTGTGGCATATAAAAATACAAAATGCACAGTCTCTTCACAAGGCACTTGGAAGAAATAGGACACATAAAAGATACTTTATGATCCAGCCCCCAAGATGCTAACTAGTAATTGGAAAGGAATTCTGAGGATAAAATGACCTAATCAGCTCAGATGTTTTATAAGTTATGTGTTGCTGCATAATCAATCACCCCAAAATGCAGTTGCTTAAAGCAACTACTAAAGCTCATGATTCTGTGCTCAGCGGTTTGGGTTGAGCTCAGCTGGGTGGTTCTTCTGCTGATTTGACAGGGTTGCCTCAGACATCTTCAGTCCACTAGTGGGTGGGCTGATGGCAGGATGATCTAGGATGGCTTCACAGTTATATCTGGCAGTTATGCTGTTAGCCACGTTAACCGGTGACCAGGACACATACCTCCCAGTTTTTAGCAGATTAAGTTGGACTTCTTTACAGAACAAACACTGTACCAAGAGCAGCAAGAGAGCAAGTTTGAAGCCTATGTTACTGTCCCATTGGTCAGATGGGATCTCAAGGTCACCATGCCTTCGAGGGGTCTAGAAAGACTCCAATTAAAATGAGAGGCAGCCACAAAAAACTGTAGCTCCCCCCCCCCCAATTTACTACACGTTTGAATCCTTGTTCTGCCAAATGTTTTTTGTTTTTTTTTACTAAGGAAGAGTATACTTAGAAGACAGGAGAGATTAGTGGAGCCTGCTTGTGGGCAGCCCAGAATTTAGGTTAGGAAATGACCTGTACATCATTGTCCCATATTCTCTGTTCTGTAAACCTTACGTAACTGAGGAATAATGCAAGGATGGTAAAATTTTAGTCACAGCCTTCTACCAGTGGCATCAGGATTGTTTGGAGACGGTAGACTGGTGGCAGTATCAGCAGACTGTTGTTTGAAGGTGAGGAAGGCTCTGGCAAAAGTGGAGGCAGAAACAATGGAAAGGAAGGCATCACTCTGGGAGATGCCATATTTTAGGATTAGGTGACTGATGACAGGGCATTATTGAGAGCCTCCAGTCAAAATCATTCTGAGATTTTCAAAAGCTTAAGTGGCTGAAGGAACAAGTGTGCCGTCGTGAGAAATAGAGACATGAGTAAGTGATTTATTTGGGGGGAGGAGAAAAATTCAGTTCCAGAAAGGCTGATCAAAAGAGATAAATTGAACGTGAAAGTACTTTATAAGCTGCAGAGTATGCTATGAACGTTAGCTAGTGCTTAGTGCTTAAATTGCAGCAAATTGTATAGACTTGAGTTTCTCACAAGAAAAGCAGCAGAAAACAGAAGACAACCTGGAGGACACCCCCACGGGTCAGAGGGAAGTCAGAAGAACCACTTTCAGGATGGAATCGGAACTGCTGTGGGGTCACGGGAGTAGAAACCCATGTTTGTTTTTCTGCAACCCACTGCTAAAGGTCTGCCCTTGCACTTAGCAGACCAGCAAGGAGAAAACCTTTAGGCGTGCCTGGGTGGCTCAGTTGTTTGGGCGTCTGACTCTTGGTTTCAGCTCAGGTCATGATCTCAGAGACCTGAGATCGGAGAGAGAGAAAACCTTTGGCCCAGTTTAAAGGCACTCCTACTGCTTGGCTGGGCACGTTGATTGGCAACCCCACGAAGGGGGCACACGATGGGCAGTCGGTAGATGCTTCCTCAGAGAACAATGGAGTACTGATCTCAGAAGTGGGAATGGATGCAGGGTAGCAAAACCAACAAATGCCCACCAGAAATAAACCCTGGACCATTTATTCCTAGCCCCTGAGACTAGGGGACAGGATTCAGGCATACTTATGTAGAGCTGTGGGTGCGTTAATAATAGCTGAACCCATGCTGGTGTTGGGGTCTTTTCATGGCAGGAGAGTAGAGAAAGAAGGTCCAATGTCATGCCTCATCCAGGCTCCTCCATAAATGTTGTGGTTGTTTTATTAGAGGGGAGAGGAATTCAAAACACGTTCACCGCTTTTTCACCTAAGGGCTCAGTTGAGGTGCCGCTTCGCCAGCCTTGTTTTGATGGCCAGTCTGAAATTCAGGTGGCGTCCTTACCATCGAGGGCAGCTGTGGGCCAGACAGAAACACCTGGCCTCTCTAACGTCGCACAATTAGTCTGAACAGCACGCACAGCTGCTCGTTACAGCAGGACCTTGGATGGACCAGCTCAAATCCAAGCACACACTTTTATAGTTTCTTTTGTACGAGTCTGAGAACCCTGAAGATATTCAGTAAATGTTAACTTAATGAGTGAGTGTGCCGTTATCTGGTGCAGTAACATTTTCTAAAGCCGTCTGGTTTGGCCTTTCATTAGTCACAGTAGAATTTGCTATAAAGTCCCGAAATGTCTTTCTTAGATTCAGATGTTTCAAGGTACAGTTGTCTCAGTAATGTGGGTTTTTATAAGCCATCATTCACAGAAGTAGACTCTTCTTTTTTGAGACACGATTTTCTTATCTTTATCAGGGCTCTTGGCTGCAGGTCACAGAAACCCAGTTTATACTTGCTCCAGCCGGAAGGGGCATGTATTGGCTCCTGTCTGGGAAAAGTTCAGAAAGAATCCAATTCTGATTTGGGTGGTGGCAAAATGGTGGTAAAATGGCCATCAGCAGCTTCAAGCTTAACCCCTTCAGGAAAAGAGAATAATTTGGGATTAACTCTAATTAGTGGACACATGCCCATCCCTGAACCAGCTTCTATGGCCGGGGATTTGAAACATATGACTTGGCTTGTCCTTGATGATGTGCCCAGGCCTGGAGTCCTTGGGAATGGGAGGAGCCATCTGTGTGTGGAGGCCAGGGGGCAGATGGGGTGATATAGGAGCTGCATGGGAAGGTGGTCAGCAAAACCTGCACTAAACCAGCTGCCCTCAGAGCAGGAAGGGGGTGGTTCTTAAACAGAAAGTATCGAATAGAGTGGGTGCCATGCAAGCAAAAGAGTAGATGGCTCTGCCATCTGTTTTTCCTGGCGGACACATCATC